AGCCAACCCACCAGAACCCCCACCTGAGATGATCGACGGTGAAGAACGATATAAAGTCGAGGCCGTCATCAACTCCAAGATCATCGGCCGAGGCGCACATCGGAGCATGATGTACTTGGTCAAGTGGAAGGGATACTCGGACCGCCACAACAGCTGGGAGCCAGTCGCCAACTTGATGCAAGATGCCAACGAGGCGATTGACGATTACCACAATGCACATCCGCGACGCATGCGTGTCTAGTCGTGGGCGACTAGCCTGAAGGGAGGGTGATGTTACGGACACCCAATTATCCATTATCTTTTTTTTTTCTTTTCCCTTTTCCAGACTCTCACGTGACGCGGCAATCCCCGTGACTCACGCTCAACTCATCTAGTTCTCGCGCCTTGTTTACGGTTGTTTGCCTTGTCATACCTATATAAGACTCCGCCCCTGCTTGTAACTTACTCTTAACCTTGATCTAGTCTATAAACCGGCTACCTAGCCGCTTATCTTGGTTAACCTCGCTCGCCCTTGTCTTCGTTAGTAAGCGGCCGCCTAGCCGTTGCTGACATTGTGAGAGGTACCCAATTTGACGCTGAGGTTGTTGGATCGGTTAGGGTGACCACTAAGTACGACACTGAGCTTCTTCTCGACCTTGTCAGCGTGTGCACCCTCACGAGTCATAGCAGCACATGCCTCTTCGAGCTGCACACTCCATCCGGCGATTCTTGCCTCAGCCGATAGACTGGCAGGGTCTTTCCATATGCACTCCTTGGCGTCAAATGCAAGAGTAGGCCGTATGTGCGCCCAGCTCTTGCTGTCATCGATCTCCTTGTTCTCAGCAATCGCGACGATACCGTCTCGGATCTGCGATGCAGGAGCGTCGAGGAAGCCCACAAGTGTCCCAAGCTTGCGTGCAACTTCCGCTTTGGCTGCTGCGACATCATCGTCTGGAGGCGGGACATAATCCGAGGGCGTGCTGCCCGGGTTCGTCGTACCGGGCATAGGATGCGCAAGCAAATCGTGCAACATGAGATGTGCAACCTCGGTGTCGATCAAGCACTGCGCCTGCTCATCCAACATCTCGTCTACAGGGATGAGTTGCAGCTCATTGAGAAGCGTTGTCAGATCCACGTTCGGTGGTCAGGGCAGACCCCGCTGGACGGGTTGCGAACGCCGTGCGAGTTCACGTGCTTCTGCCTCTGCACGCAGATGAGCGAGTCTAGCATATCAGTAGTAGTTCATAATACTAGACAAGGTTGGGACATACTCATGACACTGAGAACGTGGCACAGACAGGCCGTTCAACTGTGAGCGTGGGACGAGCAAGGGATGGGAGAAGGTGTGCTAATGTTGCAATCGAACTAGCCACACATCGAGGGACAATTTCGTGAGCATCAATGCACGACACACATAAAATACAAACATACCTGGCTGCTAATACAAAGCCACTCATGGCCAAACACTGTAAAGAAGCTCGTGAGTCGCGCGCCGTATGCTCCCTATGATATGATGTACCCAACGACCGAGCGTGTGATGCAGAATCTATGCCAGCTCATTGGCGACTTCCCAGACAGCAGGAGGATTACTGCAAGAATGACGGCGACGAGTGAACATCATTAGAGCCTTGCCATGATGAGAAAATGAAATGGTGAGGATGGGTGAGCGGGGAACAGGGGATGATGGGAGGAGAAAGCAAGAACAAATGACTTGACACAGCTGACACATACCTAGCCCCCGAACTCTTTGAGCCGAGTGCTGGCGGACTTGTGACGACTTCAAGGAAGAGAGAATTGATGCAACGTCAGATCCTGCACATTGCAAGAAGAGGACAAAAAATATACTGACCTCATCGCCAGAAATGGTCGAGTAGAAGTGAGGGAACTCGGCGAGCTTAGAGCGGTTCTGCTCGTCCTCGTTGGATACCGGGCTTGATATTCTTGCCGAGCGTCTCCCAAAACGTCTGGAGGTTGTCATTGTCTTCGGCGATTTTGAAAACAGGTCCATGCACTTCTTGACGTCGTGTTTGCGGATGATCTTGAGGATCTTGCTCCTGAAGCATCTTGCGGGATATGTTGAGCGCCAAGTCCTCATAGTTGACAATGCCCTTGACGCAGTTGAGGTACTCGGGGTTGATCTCGCAGTCGTTCATGATGAAGACACAGTGAACATGTTGTTACGCTTCTTCTGCTCGAAAAGGTCGAAGGGCCCGCCGAAAGAAAATGAGCAACACTTTTAGATGAGCGCAAACAATCGAAACTTACCGCTTTGGTAGGTAGAGAATAGCCTCAAACTGGAGCCGACTCTTGACAGAGAAGTGCTTGACGGCAAGGTGGTCCTCCCAGTCGTTGGTGAGCGGTTTGTGGAAGGCGCTGCACTTGATGTCGTAGGGGTTGCGCGTATAATAGCCCTATAAGAAAAGCCAGTGTCAGTAAAAGATGCGCGAATAGGAATACGCAGATAAAGGGTGCGATGACGCCGGACTTTGCAATCATGCCCATATCGTCGACCAAAGTATGGGTTACGAACCTGCCTATGAGCTATGTGTTATGGGGTATAAGAATGTTATGGGTTCTTACAGCCTACCATGTCCGTGGGTGGCCAAACGCTATGGGGTATCGCAGATTATGGGTTACCACAGCTATGGGTTAAGACAGAGTTGACTGTAGCAAGACTCGCGCGAAGCCCGGTGAGATGACAGTCAGCAGGAGGGAATGGCAGACTAAACTGCGGTCCGATACGGTACCGCGCAAAGTCACTTTTTGGGGTGTCGGCGTTGAGACGGCGTCAGCGCACCATAGCCGTCAGACTGTTGGACTGAAGGCAAAGTGCATGCCGACATGTTCCTAGACACGCTCGATCATCGTACCCGACGTGCTGGGCACCACCCGCTTTGTAGCCGGCGCAGAAGCTCAAGATACTAAGAGTCCCAATCGAGCCTTTGGGTGTACGCATTATAGTGCAATGCACTCGAAACGCGTGGGCATACACACCTTGTAAGCGCCAAGGGGCTGGACCGTTGAAATCGTTGGTCCCCCTTCCATCTGCGGAAGCAAAAGAGAGTCAGGTTAGACTGTGCAGTGTGGTACGTCAGTGTGGCACGGCACCACATTCATGCTGTTATGTTGTATAGTAAATGCGTGATCGGTAGGTAGCCAGCTTAGAGCGATGGGCTCCGTGCTACCAGTCTCCTTGAGAACACCAGTCTCCTTGAGAACACCAGTCTCCTTGAGAACACCATCAAGGATGGTTATTGGGCAACCCGGAAGACCAGTTCGCAAGCGCGTAGATGAGCCGCCATACACATAGAATCTAATATCAGTGTCAGTTGACTATCACAAGCAAGAGACTATACACTTGCGCACCATGTCCAACACAGAGTCCCCGGCGCGACCATTGATGCCATGCCTGTACGCTCCGACCTTCATTCAGTTCCACTCGATCCCCAACATAACCTGTATCAAGGTTGTTTCATATGTGTAGCGGTGTGCACATCCAAAGTGCTGAGTCAAGGTCATTAATTGGTGAAAACATCAACGTGGTGGTTGAACGTTGAACCCAGTGCGAACACCTTCGATCAATGTTATATATGAATACGGCACTTACTTCAGGCCTGCCTGCCGCATTCATTCCCACCCAGGCAATGTGTGCGGACGAACACGTACTACCTCTTTAATGTTGAACACCTACTCTATGCCAATGTCCAGCTACATATATCACAGTCAGAAGCACTGTCGCTCCTTATGCAACGTGCTGTAACCATCACACGACCGACAAGCGTCTGCAATCCCCTTGCATGATCCTCCGGTATGCAGCACCGCCCCTCCAACTCCAATACGTCCAAAACCCCACCCCCATCCGCCCGAGTGTGCATCGTCTCCCACACAGCCGTGAGCACATCATCTACCTCCCGGTCACGTTCACGGATATGTCGCTTCCTCGACTCCACGAATTCCAGTATCGGCCAGTCATCGACGCATTTGATCACCAGATGTTTCACGTTCGGCATGACACTCGCGTCTCTCATCGCGAGCAGGAAGTTGTGGCGACGGACATAATCAATATTGCCGTAGTCGAGGCGAAGCTGAGATACCTTGGTGTATTCCCTCAGAATCTCGCGGAGGTAGTCTTCGTCGGGTCGGGACCCACCAGGCAATGCAAACATGCGCGGGAAAAGGTCACCGCGCACCTTCATCATGCAAGGCCGTACAGGCCGTAGACCGTAGAGCATACGAGCCACCCCAAAGAGCAACGAGTCACCTCCTTCCCTGGTGTCCCATCTTGTCCACTCATTCGACGGTGTAGTGGCCATAGAGAACTTGAGCTTGCAAGTCCCACCGCGCATCGCGACCGAGAAGTCGACAGACCTTCTGCTGCGTGTCACGGCCAGTTCTCCGCTCTCGTCATTTGCTACACCAGCACATTGAATAGCCGCCGCTGCCACATCGCAAAGAAGATAACCGTTATGAAGCGCTGGTGGGGCCAGCATGACGCCACGTAGATCTTGCAGGATCGAATTTGTCGTCGCTTGCAAGTCCGCCAGTGTGAGCAGTTGCTCCTCGGGAGCCCACGCGTGCGGGAACCCTTCCGTTCTAAGCATTGACTGGGCCGTTGCTCTGTGTCCGTGGCGTCGAAGGTCAGACTGCCCCGACTTGAGAACTTCCACGAGAGCACCAGTGGAACCGTTGAACTGTGCATTCTCGAGCTCGAGGCGAATGAGGTCGTGTATGTCGGCCAGAAGCTTGTGTCTTGGCGGCGGGGGCATGTCACAGAAGACTTGCATCTGTTCGAGATTGGGCACAGAGATTCCCTCCAAAAAGACCACGGTGTCGCGTGATATCACACCTGCAAGATGCAGTTTGAGTAGTCACTGCATGCCGATAGGACCCTCCAAGGCTCCGTCCGACGCGAATGCGGGCGGAATGTCCAGGATCCAGTTAGGATGCCAGCAAGCACTGAGTGTGGTCACATTTGGGTTGTGGCTGAGAATGCGGATCAGATCAGTAGGGTGTATGTTGAACATCTTGGCGGTGTTCAGGTTCAGCGAGGTAACCCATACAGGACCAGACACGTCCAGTATCTCAAGATTGGGGCACGGGTGTACGTCTATTGTCACATCGAGGGCAGCAGCCATCGAATCGCTGCCAGATATGCGCAGGAACTTTAGTCGCCTGGTCGAAGTCATTCGAACAAGTGCAGTAATGTTCATCCTGCTCAATTCCCTTGGCTTCTCGATTAACAGCCATTGCAGTGGGACAGATGACAGTTTGCGAAGCACGGAAACAATCTGCGCGTGCGTATGGAAGAGCATCCTGCGGTACCAGAGGAGAGGCGCATCAATGAGAAGTGGAGACGTGGACACGTAGATCCGCAGAGATGGTACGTCGAGAGGCCCGTATATGCGCAATGCAGTGTGCGGCATCCTTGTCTTGTTTGGGAGCAGATACAGGATCTCGAGCTGCCGAAGGTCGCTCTCACTCAAGACACGTCCAAAATGCCGCCATTCGCAGTCGCGTTCAGCGTAAATAGCACTTGCTCGACCTATCTGAGCGTCGAGCAAAGAACGCGGTAGACCGCGTCGGTAGACAATGCGTATTTTTGCATCCCGAGCCCGCTCCAGAGCTGTATTCCAGCCATCCACGTCATGAGCTGCAGATAACAGCGGGCCCCAGACTATGGCTGACATGCCCATTGTCGTCTCCTTCCACAGGTTGCATGTGCTCATGATACTCGTCACAGTGGCCACTGCAACAGCGCCACGCCTACCCGGATGAAAGAAAGCTTGTAACGGAAGCTTGTTCGCGGGAGGTATGATCTCTTCCAATAGATACGCGAATATGTCGAGACTTCCAGCAGGAAGTTTGTTGGCGCTCGTCGCGTCGTCAACCATGAACAGGAGTGAGGGAGCTGATACATTACACCAGGTTAGCATCACATCTCCGCATCGTCAGCACAATTAATACGAACATCCAGTATCAACTTCAACATGCGCTTCAGTTCCCGTTTGCTCAGCCGCCCAGAGGTTTTCGACGCTAGCGGCCTGGGTAGACCGGCCATGTCGCACCCAACGCGGTGGTAACAACGCCTTCCAGCCGAAGTCGTATTCCTCTTCGGCATATGGCAGAGGTCCGCGTCCACGGATAAACGGCGTAAGATCCCAGCTGGCGCGCTCGCGCTCATGATCAGAGTCCTCGGAATTGGACTCCCAAAACATTGTTCTTTCCGTGGTCAGGTCAGCTCTTGGTCAGATATGCCATTGACGCGAGTAGTCTTACCCATTTTCCATGCCACCATCTGATGAATCGTCAGCGGCCAGAGGCTCCAGGCCAACGTCAGGCTCATCTAGCTGCGAGGGGTCGCTGCCAGTTGTAGCCACTTCAATATCGTCCAATACGTCGTCGGATACTCAATGCACACAATTCAATACCTGCGAAGATCTAGGCGACTGATTGTAGCCCACAAACCCTTCAAATTCAGCACCGAAATCTAGTGCGTTCATATCCGCCATGGTCCTGATCGGCAAGTGTTGGTGAGCAGAGGTTGAAAGGAAGACGCAGTGCGGGATTAGATAGAGAGCACGGCAGACGCGACCGGTGCCTTGCGCGTTTCCAGCCGCTGCTCGACGGGGCAATGGACAAAGAGCCCGCACTGTTGCAAATGTCTATACCTTTCCACCGTACAACCCGTAAGCCCTCTGAGTACATAGAGATGCAATGATATCGTATTTTGTTGAGTACATGTCTACGCTGTAGCACAATGCCCAATCTAAAAGCGCAACCTCTGTATGTAAATGCCGAGCCACCAGGCACCTGCACCCTTAGATCTGTTGCGCATGCGGTAAGGCTTTCCCGCAGCGAGGGCTAGGGCATTCTGCAGACCAAGCTACCGGCGAAGTGAGAGCTCAAGTTGGGTATTCAAAGCCGACCTTGCATCTGTACATGATGGTCGTGGTGCCGGTCCAAGGTGCTCTCGTCAGCGCTAACTTCCCAGCAGAGCGGCAACTTCCCAGTGCTTAGAGCGTTCTAGGTATTACCACCAACGTCCCACACGCCCTAACTTCAACCGCCATGTTCCCTATCCACTGTCTGCCAAACTTCACGGAAGTAAATTGTAGGGTACGACCTACCGCCGCGCGGGTGCCATAATCGCGTCTACATATATATGCGGCCCATGTCACCTTTGCCCCACCCACGTCGTTTCATGGACACCCTGCTTGACTGTGCCCCCCCGGAGTTCCACCGCATGTTGCAGGGGCTTCCTGCACCTCACGAGGGACCTGGCCTACCGGACCATGGACAAAACTATCGACTCTTTGCCGTGCGTACCTATCTATTACATGTGAATCACCTTGTATTGAATGGCACGTAGATGTCGAACTACATATATGCGGCTCTAGACCGACGCTCGTCCGGCTGGACTGACTACACCAGTGCGTTGAGCCCTTACCTACCAGCCACGCCCTCCACGCATTCTCTTGCCGGCGCGGATGCTCATCTTCCGATGTATATACTGGCCCGGGAGGGTGATCTAGCAGATGAACGTATACAGCGCACTGTCCACACTGCGCTGCCTGCGGTGAAGGACGTTTACGCACCTCTCTCCAAGTCATTGCCGGAGATGGGGATCTGGTCGTGCCCTCAGTGCGATTATCCTATTGATCCCCGCGATCTTACCGTCGACCAAAGGACCCTCATTGCCCGTCATCTGGGCATGGGCGACGACTGCGGCATGCTCGAAAACCTCGAGGGTCGTGTAGAGCTAGACCCTAAGAACCCTTGGTTGTATATGCGCTGCATTGACTGCTTGGGTTGGGCTCGCTTTGCTATGCATCTACGCACTGAGTGTCTCGTGTTCTGGTATCCCAGCCCCGCGATTGCTTACAAGGTATGCTGATACGTCAATGCGCCATCGTGACGTTTACTAAGCCTCGAAGTCTGCCCCAGGTATATGGTGGGATGAAGATCGGCTGGCTCGGCGTCAGGTGTACGCGCCGCTGTGCCTGGAAAATGAAGCGCTCGAGCGTACCGAAAGATACCAGTTCTGTATGTGGAAGGCCAAGAAGATGCTTCTTGTCGCCAAACACGGTGTTCATACTGCTCGCTTCCACCTCACGCGCTGGCGACGCCAGGCTGTCGACGCTCGCAGGGCCCTCGTCCGCCAAATGTTCGAGGCCGGACGTGGCATTATAGACACCAGGTTAGCGTTGGTCGCGCTCATGGATAACGAGAGAGTGGATGCGGAACAACTGAGGTGGCAGGATGAACGCGAGCAGAATATTGCACTGTCTTCAGCCTCCTCCTCTTAGTGCATGTGTTCCTGAAGCTTGGTGCATAGCTCTGGGCAATAATCAAAAACTACCGCTGAGGTCTCCCAATTGATGCTGGGGTTGTGGAAGCGTAGCTATTTTGAGAGTGGTGAAGGGCCTAGCTTGGCTACTGTGAGGGCAATCTGTTCCCAGTAGTCACCGATAGACATGGCAATGTCGACAAACTCCGTGATGCTGCCGTTGGCGTTGGCGCTGCCATTTGCATTGTAGACCGGAATAGGTAAGGCGGTCTTGCGTGTGCGAATGCCGTTCTGCTGGACGAAGTCCTTGTCGATGCACGAGCCGGTGCAGCCACTATTGAGCAAGGTATTAACCAAGATTTGACGCCGAGGGAACTCTAGGGTGTGAAGGACTGCAGGCAGGGTGGCCTGTTGGCATTGACCAGAAGAGCGGACGTAATGTATGGGTGAGCATAGTTCACAGAGCGCTTGGATAATGGTGTCATCATCTATACCATTGAGCGTGGCTAACATCTCATAAGTGGCTTTGCGCGAACATCGGTTGTGAGTCCAGTTGCGCAGAATGGCTATAGCGGACTCCAGCTTATCTTCTTGAAGACAGCGAGCAGCCCATAGGGTGAAGTGTGGTGGTTGCCTCTCCTCCGAGTATGAGGGAGGTCTTGATCCGTTAACTCAGACATTGGTTGGGGTTCACACGGGACAAATTCAGCAACATCAACATCATTATCATTATGCATGGGTGTGAATAAAGCGGCAGCCGGAGTATTATCCGGCTCTGGTACATGAGAAGCAGGAGTGATGCCCTGCAATCTGAGTAGCGGAGACAAGATAGATGCGCATGAGATGAATGAGTCGAATAGTCCGTGGAACCAAGACGGGGCTTGGGGTGCTGTGTTCACAACGAGCCGGTGGCAAAACCCTGCTGCGATGCTTGAGCCGGGGGAGCAGCCGGTGCCTCCTTCCACTCTGTAGTATACACATTAGTTCGGCCCGGTCAGCTGGAGACAGTGAGGCGGCAAAGTTGTCCGCATTGGCAAACATCGTGGCACGGGCCCAATAGCCTGGAGGGAAAGGAATCATCCGATACCGGCTGTACTTCCGCCAAATAGTCTCTGTTGGCATGTCACAGTTATGCGCCAAGTGGTTTTCACTGCAGCGGTAGCACACCATGGCTGCGTTGGCCGCATTAATGTCTATTGGGACTACACCAGTGTTGGCTGCTGGTGTCGGCGTGCGTGGTTGTTGGGCAGGGGCACCCCAAGGACGCCAATTGCCATTGCGCAGATGCCATTGGTTGGCATTGCGTGACGGCTGCTGCTGCTGCTGCAAAGCACCCGTAGACCGGCTCGTGTTGTTGTTTGCACCGGAGGACTGGTGGTGCGAGGACGAGTTGCCTGTGGTAGACTGCAATGAGGGCCAGTCTAGATGATCTTCACGCCACTGCCTATCGAATAGCACAGCATCCTCGTACCAGCCTTGGAGTGTGTCTGGGCAATGTTTACCTTGGCCGTTGACCTTGTTGCAGATAGCAGACTTCAAGCTCCTCTTGTAGAGCTTGATGAGTGCGGTGTCGTTGGTCTTCAAACTGCTGAAGGAAGGCGCTCAAGAACGTGTCGAGATCGAGGAGCGGGCTGGTGTAAGCCAGTACCGGCTGCCCCTGCTTCTGGGCTTGACCCGCCATTTGCTGGTACTCCACATAGTCGGCCATGATCTGCTCATACCACATGGCGGCGGACTGGTCGAGGAGCGTGGAGACCAGGACAATCTTGTTGTGATCAGTGAGTGAGTTGCTGGCGGCTTCCTCCTTGGCAATGAGGTAGTTCCACATGTTCCGGATGAAGTTGTGTGGTGTGGGGTCAAAGATGCCCTTGTTGTTGGAGACACTAGAGAAGGTGCATAGAGCGTGGAAGCGGATGTGCAAGTGTTGTGGACCTGGCGCTTGCTGGACAATGACCGGCTGCGGTAGGGTGTTGAGTTGAGCCTACTGGTTGATGACCATCTGCTGTAGGTCACAAATCTGCCGGTCCTTGGCAACGCTGATCATGTTAGTGCGGGCGTCATCGGACAAGGGCGTTGGAGGCACTCTGACGCTAGTACGCATCCACCAGGTGACCACTCCAGTGTCCGGGTTGATCTCCTTCCAAACTTCCAAATAAGTAGGTCATTGTCCAAGGTGCATGGAAGGCGATAATTGTCTTCATCATCTGCATCAATGAGGAAGCCGGCCTGAGGGAGATCCTCAGGGTAGTTGGTGGCATCAACAAAAGGCATGATTTAAAATTTGGGCGGAAAGTCTTCGGGATGTGTGGTGGGTGTGGGCAAAGCAGTGGGTTCAAAGTTGAAGATGATGGCCTTCGGGGTGCGGACAGGCAAGGGTGGTGGTGATGGTAAGCGATGTGAGCTGATGACGACCAATAACTGCAATGGGTCCCAGATAACGGCCACCACGGGTCTGTCATGAGCGAAGTGTAAGTTTTGGAAGGCAGGCTCATACGTGTAGTGGAGGGTGTCCATGCAGTCCTCACGGTAGATGACTTTTAGACTAATGAGGTGGCTGTACTCCACCAAGAGCCTTCCTGAACTATGGTCGAGGTAGTTGGTGAGAATGACAGCGTGCTCAAGGTGAGAGCGATGCGAGCGGCAAAGACTGCAAAGACGACAATAGACCCAACTCCTTACAGTGATCCCTGGAACCGAATAAGGAACTACCAAGTCTGGTAGGGGAAGCGATGCAAGGCACGATGACAAAGCTGGCAACAGCAGTGACGAATGCGGTAACGGCGGCAACGAGCATGAGAGCAAGTTGAGAACCTTGATCTAATGTCAGCAAGGGCTAGGTGGCCGCTTACTAACACAGACAAAGGGCGAGTGAGTCAACCAAGATAAGTGGCTAGGTTGCCGGTGTTGATAAGAGTTCCGCAGAAAAATGCTGGGATTCCGGCAAAGGGACTTGTCATCTGTTCTCCGTGATGTTACGGTGGAACAAAAAGAGAACTCGCAGTAGCCTCGCATCAGGCCTCTCCATAATCTCGACAGGCTTTTACAGTATAATCTCACTAGTCTAGGATGTTATCAACGTATTCTCGTGGAACTCGCATATCTTCTGCATAATCTCGATGAGGAAACTTAGGAGCATGCGAGGAGGTGATGGTTGATAATTTCTGCATTTCCTTGACGCGATAAGGGTCTGATGATTCTTAGGTCCTTTTCTACAATTCCAGTGCGTCCTCACGATCCTATAGCCTTCCACTTGTAGTGTAGATCAAAGTCAAAGGTAAGTTACAAGCAAGAGCGCAGTCTTATATAGGTATGGCAGGGTAAACAGATGTAAACAAGGGGCGGGAACTGGATGAGTTGTTCATGAGTCACGGGAGTTGCTGAGTCATGTGAGAGTCTGGAAAACGAAGAAAAAAATAATAGATAATCGGGTGTCCGTAACATTTGGCACCGGCCCTCGCATTTGCTGGATGGCCAGCGGCCAAGTGTACATACAGTTTCCCACGTGTCATTAATACATAACGCTACGAGCAGTATGTATGTTGGCACACATGAATCCATGAGTCATTCTTCAGTCCACCCGTAGCAATGCTCCATCTCTGACTCTCCCGCCTGAACACATCAAGACGTGTCCCAGCATCCTCTATGATCTGCGCATCTGCGTGGCCACATGTGGCAACGTCTCCCCCTCCAATCTATACCTCAGTTCTCTCCACACTCTCTTGTTCTCTTCCAACTGATACTATCTTTGCACTGTATCACACAGTGCTGGATATTCAAAGGCACTTGATTAATGTTGGACAGATGATGCGGATGGCTTGCACAGTTACCACGACAAGCATGCAGATGACCAATCCTCATTGTGTTTCATCGAAGCACGTGCAACCGTGTTTGTCTGATCTGCCTACTGAACTCTGGCTATGGGTCTTCAGATCTGTTCTCTATCTGTCAGTATGCCATTTGAGCACCTTGATCCGGCTTTCCCACGTTTGCCAGAGGTGGTACGCCATGATGCATAACAATCTGGAGATGTGGACGACAATCGGTCCTTTCCTGTATAAGATGCTCACCGCCATTCAAGAGTTTGTCCTTCAGCACGTGGCCGGGACCATAGTGTTTACCATTTATGTTAATGCCGTGACGCACCTGGTACTCGATCCTGACATACGCAACACACTGTCATTCTTTGACCGCAACCGGACCCAAGTGCAGCGCACTCTCATGTGATTGCATGCGCCCAGGGTCTGCAGAGATATCAAACAAGTCTTTGCCGCCCACGTGCCCTTTGCATGCCTCTACATTGTCAACCTCCGCATGGACAGTATGATCGACTTGGGGGATGTCGTGATACAGTCACCTGTTGAATGCGCAGCCTAAGAACGAAGCGCAACACTCTGCAGCACGCAGAGAATAAGCAACTGGGGGAAAAGAGAGAAGGGAGCTT